TTTATACATTTAAAATATTGAATAAGGTAAATTAAAATCATACTTAATCAATAAAAGTGCAAATATCGGAGTAATCAACACAAATTGAACTAGCACATTATACGTCCATGTATGCGGCATACACTAAAATTATAAAATTTAAAATTAATTTTAAAAAATATTTTATAATTATCATAAATACTTGTACCAGTCCATTTTCTTTATTAACAGAATTAGCGATGAACAATAAGGTATACCACCAATTATTCATCACGTCAAGACAAGCCTAGAAACAAGGTTGTAATAAATTTTCAAAGTTAGTCCTAAAATGAAACATACATATACTTTAGGGTTTAAAGTTTAAATTTTAACAATGAATAATCTTACGATTCATAAATCCGAGAAAACCAAATTAGGATATTTTAATCAATTACTGTATCAATGTTCCCAACTAAGATGTTTTATATTTATACAGTGGATATAATTGAAGTTATAAATAACTCCATGTCTGAGGTAACTGACCAAAGTATCATGAAACATGATGCTTCATCATTTAAACCACAAAGTACACAACAGTTATATTCACTATTAAAAATACCAATACCAGGTATGTATTTTCTAAAAATTTCAAAGCTTAGATTTAATCATTCTACCTTGATCTATTTGTGAATAAATACATTCTTAAACTTAAATAACATCATGTGAACAAATAGACAATGGTAGAGTAATTATAATTAAACTTTTAAATTGTAAATTTAATTTATAAAAATAATTTAAATAAATATTGATTATTTATAATTAATAGGAGAAATTGACGAGATGATTAAACGAATAACTGAAATAAGGGAGTTATTTAACATTAAGTCCGAATATATTATTGAGTACTATAATTCTTGGATTTGTAATAATTACATATTGGTACAAACGGAATCGTGCACAAAAACACTCTTGGACATTATTTGTGAAAAAATTGAAATTTTTAAAACCCAAGACCAGACAATGGTTTGCTTTGATTACTATATGTCCTATGAATTGGTGAAACAATTCCTGGAATGCGTTCAATATTTACACGAATCGGTCGATAAAAATATTATTGATTCGAAACTGAATCCCAAAAATATATTGATTGCCGATAATGTAAGGAATGGTAGGTTTATTAGAGTAAATCCGTTTAATTATAACATACAAGGTAATTTAATAATTGAAAAGGCAGCATATTGCTATTACTACATCAAAAAGATTATACGCGATTTGTTTGAACCTACCTTGTCAAAGTAAGCTATTTCATTAGATAAATATTTAATTTAAATTAATATCAATTATTGTATTACCATGCAGAGTTGAAAATCAAAAACTGTTGGGAGTAAACATCAATACTATTCAAGACTTCCTAAACGGTCTCAAAAACACAGTGGATGTGGAGGAAAGGGGTGTCGAGGATGTGTTGAATGAATTCAAATACATTTTCGCCCATAATATACAAATTACCGATAATATGATTTCCACATTTCAGACTCATTATGCAACATTAAATAACCAGGAATATAATTTCTTTGTTGAAAACGCTTTTGTGAAAGCAATTACTAAAGAGTAATTATTGTTTTTTAAATGTTAAGCTTTTTAATTTAAATCTATTTTTATAAAACAAATATTGTACAACATAACAAGTTTTATTAATACATGCTAGTTAATACTTTGTGTTGATTTTTGAATATATGGATTTCCCCATTTAACAATAATTAGTATTAATATTTTAAAAATGAAATTATTGTTACAATTTTCGTATTAAATTTAATAAATCATGTATTTTAAAGTTATACTGTATCTTACAAATATTTTAATAAAACACTTTCAAATCATTATGATATATTATATTTCATTATATTATAAGATAATTTTTATGATAACATATTTTTTAGTTTAATATACTTATTAGTAATAGATTATAAAGTATGGGACTTAAAAGGTTATTTCTGTCAAAATTAAAACTATTTAAAACCTACATTAACA